CGCTAGTAGTAACAGGTGCCTTACTAGTAGTAACAAGAAGCTAGTAGTAACAAGAAGCTAGTAGTAACGTTCTGGCCAGTTGGGGCGACAAACACCTCCTTGGGACGTTCTTACACCGCGCTTCGTTCCTTCGCTGCTCGTGACGGAAGACACCTGAGGCTGAGTTTTTGTGGCATCGTGTTCTATGGAAACTCTGGCGTTGGATGAACGATAAGCATACCCTGTGCATCCCGAAAAACGTCGTTGACCTTTCCCATGACCGTCGCTTCTTTTTCACCATCGTCGGTCGTCGTGGTAGTTTGGGTGAGAATCGTCGCTGGTGCTTCAGCATCATTTGCCTCCTGGGTTCAAGGGGTTTGTGTGATACGTGTCCAGTCCAGAGAAAACTAGTAACAAGGACGCCACTAGAGGGAGGCCATCGCTACTAGTAATAAGGACGCTACTACAGGCTCAGCTTCAAGCTTGTTTGAGACACAAGTCATGCATCTATGACATTGCGGCGAAGGGAGACCCAACAGGCGAAGCTGGAACTAAGCCAAGCAAGAACGAAACCGGCATGCAGTCCGTTTTTCTTTGAAAGTGGTCGGCTTTCGCATGTTCTTTCAGTACGTTGCCCCAATCTTTCGGAGGTTCTCTTGAAAGACTGTTGCTTATGCCGGTCTATTCTCACCATGAAAGGGAAGTCCCAGCCAGTGGCTGAAACATAGCTGTCCTTTTTCAGGTGTGGAGCTGTTCCACCGGGGTTCTCTCTTTGCAGGAGTATGTCACATGCGAGATGTGCAAGTCTGCCGCGACCACTCTCCGGAAGGACGGCTTCTGGGGGAAAACTGCGTGTGGCCCCACGGTCAAACCGCATGGAATGTAAGAATGCTCCGTTCGTAGCAATGCCAGGAGCCCCTAAGTAGCGTTCTAGTACCAGTGCCTTGCTTTTTGACCTGCTGCCCCTTCCTAGATCTCCCATGGTCTCCCATCCTTTCTCCACCCGACGGACGTGGCCAGGACCCCTCCACACGGCTCACCATGGTGGAATGCTCCCGGTGCGGCGCCTCGCGGACAGCAGCGTCCATCAAGGCTGGCTTCCACGCAGTGGCCTGGTCCGCAGCGGGACCAAGCGACGGTCCGTAACGCGGGAATGGTCGTTGGGTGTGAAGCAGGGAGGAAGAGAGGGAGGGAGAGAGAGGGAGAAAGAAAGAAAGGAAGACACTCCATCCCCAGGGAAGACACATGGGCAAAAGCCCAAGAAAGCGACATACCAACGGCCGGAAGGCGCCGGATCTCCCTTGGTTACAATATTCGAAGGAGGAGGAGGAGGAGGTGTTCTTCTCCAAGAGATGGTTGCGAACGCGACGAGGGGAACTGGGTTCTGTTTGTCTTTTTCTTTTCGAGGACGGATGTGTTGCTGAACGCCGCTATTTCGGAGGCTATCGTCCTTTGCATTCGGGGGCCATCCAACGGGAGGAAGGGGGCCCTGGGACCGTTGGAGTTGGGAGGGTCCTGAGACCTTTCAACGTACTGGGTGAGGTTCTCCGTCGCTCGCGGCCCAGGTGACGCGCGGCGACCGCAAGGCCGCCAAGCAGGCAAAGTAGTGGTCCGTTCACCCCCGGCGGAAGGCCCGGCGTCAGCCTGCGGCGGAGCGCAGCACGGATGGTCCCCGCGCAACCCAGAGAGAAAAAGGACGGCACGCCCGTGGAGCAACGGGTTCGGGGTGGGCTTCGTCGGGGAGTTGGGCGTTTGTCCGCCAGCTGCTGATGGTTTTGGTGAGAAAAGAAACAAACAGCACCTTGGACCTTGAGCAAACCCCGAAGCTTGGACAGAAAGCACCTGGCCCCTCAGAGTAGCAAGGTATGAGGACTTCCCAAAGTGTGACTCACTCAATGCCTGAGTAAAGACCTAGAGACTGTAGAGGTTGGTGAATGTGTTGCTAGGGAAGGTAGTTCACTTCTAAACTGTTTCCGGAAACTCCAACAGGTTCTCACCAGTCAGACTCTCGCAAGCGCACCGTTTGGAGATGGAATGTCCATTGGGGATGAACGACCAAGAGTTCTCCCCAGTTCCAAAAATGTGTGGATCGGAGCATCTTTGAGCTTTGAGTCCAGGCGGACGTCCCAGCCACCGAACTCGAAGCGGTTCCAGCCGTTGAGCTGGGGAGAGGAGGAAAGCTGGTCCGTTCAGCTGGTCTTGCCATCCTTTTTCATGTTTGCTTGATTCCATAAGCCGTATCATAAGCTCCATTGTGGACCCCATTTACTGGCCCGAGGTGGTCCGAAGCAAGCTGCTAGCTGCCAGACCGCAGCACTGAGAAGCAGAAGGAGACCCAGTGCGAAACAGTGATGGGACAATTCGTTTGGCACATCGGCATGGACCCCAAGCAGGTCTTTTAGTGGTTTGATTTCAGATCAGGAACTGTTTCGGTAATATTATCACATGGGCCACATGGGCAGTTGTTTCCAAGGAGTCCACTCATGACTGATCAGGCAAACCTGCAAGATTGTAAGACTTCATGATGACCAAGCGAATCCACTGGAGCTCCTGTTGTTGCAAGCGGACGTTGGCGTGCTGAAAAGAGAGCGGAGCGATTGATTCTCAACTGGTAGTGTTCATCCTTAAGGCTTTACAACCCACTCCGTCATCCGTTCCTGTGGAGTGATGACTACACTGCGCTTGCCATGCTCGCGATCTTTGGTCAGCCAGTTGAACTTGCTTTTGGGCACAGGAGAAACAAGCTCATAACTCAAACCGTGAGCGCTCATGAGCTCAGTCTCAACCGCCGACGATTTTGTCTACTTCTGGGTGGTTGTTCCAATCCTGATCCCTCACTTGTCACAAGTTGCTGGTTGATCTGAAATTTGGATTCATCACGCCAGAAGGGACGTCCATCCTTATGTCGAATGCCAGAATTGCGAAAGGATCTACAGCAGCTTTCCCAACTCCAGTTTTGGTTCTATTCATTGGGGCCCTTCAAATAGCATCGAATCCTACTGGTCCTCTTCCCCTTAAAGAGGGTGAGAATCCCGCTGTATCCTCCTGAAAGAGCATTTCCATGTTCATGTTCCTTCCATTCTATATGTTCATTATTGCATTGCTTCCTCCACACCCGTCTTTGAATTCAGTAATTCTCCTCCACATTCTCATCCTCCCTCTATTTTCCCGCCTTCTCCTCCACATTTGCAGCATCCTCTTTCCAGTCTTTGTTTTCATCCTTCGACTTTTCCATGTCCATCTATCAACACGCTTCCTCAAATGTCCATTGGAAAGCCTTCATGTGATCCCGCATCGTGTTAACTCCATACACATTCTCATCCTTCTAGTTCTCGCCTTCGTCTTTGTTCCAATACATCCTTTGACAGCGTCACATCACCCATGGAACGCATTCATCTGGCTTTCCTTCTCATTGGTGGATTGATCCTCCCTGGTGGTATGCAATTGAAGATGTGCATTCTTCATCCTTTTTCTAAGCCTCATACAGTATCATCCTCACGAAGAACCTGGTTCACTACGTTGTGAGGGCTAGCTTTCGGTCGCGAGAGCTGGTGCCAAAAACTGTGTGCCATTCCCCAAGTGAAAGGGATGAAAATGATGGATAAAATCGGGGGAAGATGAAAGCATCAGACCCCTGGAAGATGCACTCGCTGGATTTTTTTCACCTGTGCAGCCAGCCCGACGTCCAGTCGTTGTCCTCTGGGCTTTGTAGTTTGACGAGTGAAACGACCGTTTGTCCCGGCTGACAGAGTTTGTGAGTCAAAACAGATTGGATCTGATGAAGCAGATCCCATGGCGGAACTCGGGCTGAAACAAGGCTCAACTTCGTAGGGCACCCAAGAACCAACCCCCCTCATGGTGCCATGGGAAGCCACGGCCAGACCCAAACCCAGCTAAGCCACTCCCGGTCACAGCACGACCGAAACTGCTGTGTGAACACCTACCGTTTCGGAACCCCGTTCAATGTGTCCAGACCGGTCTTTGTTTGGGGAAAAAAGGAAGCAAAGCTTGGACCAGAGACCTTGGAGCCGCACCTTTGCTGTGCCATGAAGGGCTTCCTGCGTGGTTTCGTCGGAGCAGAGCCCTGGACTGGGACCGGTGGGACGCGGGCGATTCTGCGGGAAGTCCGTGGCTGAAGGCTGTGGGGGAGGTTGTTCCAAAGAATTGCAGACAGATGTTCTTGTAGCCTTCCTTCCCTGCAAGGTACTGTGAACTCAGAGTGTTTCGAACTTTCTCTCGGCTGGCATATGTTCTCAGGTGTTCTCAACAAAAGATGTTCATCCAGAGTCACCGACATTGAGTGGCGCAAACTGGTTGCATTTGATTCTTCGATAATGGTTCAGTGGTGTGGTGGAAGAAACACCTGTCCATTTCTCAAATTATCATTCTGTGGAATGCTGCTGACCAAGACCAAGTGCTGTAAAAATGCTTTAAAACGGAATTTCGATCCAAATATCCCACTGCGCCGATGAAGTTCCGATGAGTGGGTTCCAGTTCCTTCGGACCTCAGGAACCACAGCCAGAGAGCGCTGTGGAGGACGGAGAGCTGGGAGTGGTTTCCCCGGTCTCTCCACGTGTTGGGGTTCCCACCTGCGGAGTGAACCGGGAGTGGTCCTGAACCGGGAGCCGTTCAGCTTGAGATCCGGAGTCCGAGAGGACGGAACACACTGTAAATGAGTGTCTCTTGTGATTGGTAGTCATTTGTTCAGTCATGTTCTTGTTCTTCTTACCTTACCACACCCGCGGTGACAGGCCAGACACTGGCTGTTGAGAGAAGAAATCCTGCCACCCCCCCTGAGATCGAGACCGTGCTCACACCGAACCCCCCCCAAAAACGACTCGTCCACGGCTCGATTCGTCCACAGTCGTCGTGGCTCCAGGAGAGCGAGAAGAGGAGCGAGGCCAAGGTGGGCAGCGAGCAGATGATGAAGGTGTTGGGTCCCATTGGTCCACTTGGTCCACGGCATGAACATCCTCTGCACATGAAGCATTGTGCCTCTTCCCGGCGAAGGTCCCTGAACTTCAACTGCGAAGCACCGAGGAATCGAATCTAGAACAGGGCCTTTCTGGCTTGTAGAATTGTCCATGCTTTGCTTTGTTCTCCATGGGGCAAAGCGCAGTGATTCTTCGTCACCCAACGAAAGTCTGAACCGCTTGGCGCACTTAGTCGTCTTCTGTGTTAGCTTCCACAAGCACCACTTCGCCAAGTCCGGTAGCTTTCTGCAAAGCTTTCACCTGAGACTCTGTGTTTCCGCGATTTGGGGCCCAGATGATCCAGGTACTCTTTTCAACCAACCGCCTATCTGGGGTCCAGATCTTCCATCCACATACTCTGTTCTCCCACAGTTCGCCAGGCCGAGGAGGAGGTCGCTTTCTCCGTCTGCATGTTGTCGGGCTCGGTGCTCGACGCCCGGCCTCGAATTTCGATCGGTCGGCCCGGTGACCGGTGACCCACCGAGGACGCGTCGTTCGAGCCGGGCTCGGTGGGGCTTTTCCGATGGAGAAAGAAGCCAAGCCTCTCCACTGTTTGGGAGGATTCGACGTGTGGATGGCCTTGGCTCGATTTGGGGGGGCGCTTTGGGGTGCGGAAACCTCCTGTGCATCTCGGAGATCGCTCCTCCCAACCCCGACCTGCGCCGCCTGTGTCGCCTCTCCCCGCCCACGCACCCCGGTGTCTGAGGAGGTCCGGTGTAGCAATGCGACGGAGTCGGTGTTGGAGCTGCGGCGGCGGGTGGAAGGACAGCTGAAGCTGCCCTCCTCCCAGGCCGCGTGCAGGGGGAGGATGCGTCGACGGGAAAGTGTCTACGGTCGTCGGTTTTTGTAAAAGGGATGGTGTCTTCAAGGAGTCTTCAATCTTCCAGTCCTTTTCCCGAATGCGTAGCGAAGGGTTCCCGGGGCCAGCGGGGATGCTGGGGGTCTGGGGGCTGGACCTATGTTCGCATCGTGTTTGTCGTGTGTGTCGTCGTGGTGTCGTCATTGTCGTCGGGTTGTTAATTCCCTCACAGGGGGAACGCCTCAGGGGCAGCTCTAGAGGATGTGCCCGAGGTAGGATTCGTTGCAAATAGCGTACTTATTGTATACTTATGTTGCGCTTTGCGACATCTACTGTGGAGGATGATTTTGCTGCACAGGTGCAGCGTTTGTGAGATCGGCAGTTTCCTTCGCTGTGACAGTGGGATTGGCGTCTAGAGGGTGGTATGTTTGAGGTTTGTCGCGTGACAGTGCGACAGTGGGATTTGGCGTTTCAGGGTGTTGCTTCGAAGTTGTGTTTTCGTGACAAGTCTCAGCTAAAGATGCGAGTTTGGTGGATGTGAGTGTGCTCAGAAAGTGTCGTGATCGTTCCAAACATGTAGTGTGGTGCAAATTTTATTTACAGCCTTCGGCATGCCGCCGGCCACCAGCTCGAGCCCGCATTGGCAGGCAGCTTAATGATACAATACCCTGCTCAATCATACTTGTTGGTGCATTGGAGGTGCACATTTGGCTGGGTGAGTTTGTTGATGCTTATTTCAAGGTTGTTTGACCATGAAATGGAACGAATCCAAATCAGAGGTTGTCTATTCTGATCCAGCGATCCGAACCGGCATGTCTCAGTCGAATCACCTAAGAGGAACCAAGTGAAACCAACACAAGCAATGCGAACCAAGACTATCCACAAAACATGACCTTGAAAACGATTCTTCTTCCAAACTACTTGGCCGTGTGCATGTTTTCCTTTGCAGATCTTTTTTTCGACCGTCTCGAGGGATTGCGACACGCACCAGATACTCTTTTTCACACACAGAAGGCTTCAAAGCGACCGAAGAATTTCTAGATCTGGCATGATTTGTCGTTTTTTTCTCCAAACCGGTTGAAATGAAAGACCCAGAATGACATCGAACAACAATACCCTGCTCAATCAGACTTGTGGGTGCATTGGAGTTGCACATTTTGCTGGGAGAGTTTGTTGCTGTTGATTTCAAGCGAAGTCGTTTTGCAATGAAATGGAACGAATCCGAATCAGAGGTTGTCTATTCTGATCCAGCGATCGACATGTCTCAGTCCAATGGTTGTCTATTCTGATCCAGCGACCTACTACCTACTACCTACTACCTACTACTGCTACTACTACTACCACCACCAGTACCTACAGTCCAACCTACTACCTACTACGTACTACCTACTACCTACTACCTACTAACTACCTACTACTACTGCTGCTACTACTACTACCACCACCACTACCTACAGGGGGGGGGGCGGGGGCGTCAGGCTGTCGAAAAATCCGCGCGGAGAGACAAACCGTAGATTGAAACCAACACAAGCAATACTAACCAAAACAATCCACAAAACACGCCGGCAGGCCGGCGGATTGGAGACCTGAAATGTCATGTTGTCACTTTTTGTGGCAGGCACAGTGCTTTGTGCGTGCTGGAGGTGTCGAAGTTGAATTTTTTGGCAGGCGCAAGGAAAAAGTTGGGTGGGGGTGAATGTCGCTGTGGCAGTGGGATTGGTGCATCAGCGAGCGTGTCTTTGACGGACTGGGACTGCCAACTGCTTGGCACGGCTGCTATGGATGCGTTCGCAAGTGGGAGACTTCCCGCTTCACTGGCGGAGACTTGACATGTGACTTTTGGAGGCAGTCTCGTACGACACGCTCGTTTTGGAGACTTGACGGCGTGACGGTTGACCTTTGGAGGAAGTCTCGTGGAGACTTGACAGGAACCGACGGGCTTGTCCACGGTGAGCTTGGCTACCCACGATGAATGTTGACCGTTAGCCAACGCATTGCCCCTTGAAAGTCTCGTACGAAACATCATTGTTTCAAGACTTTTGCTTCTGGCAGGTTTGGCTTCAGAACTGGCTGGCCGCTTGGTAGTACACATGAGAGTAGGGGAAGCAGCTTCTACTGAGAACTGGCCACTTGGCACTGCAAATGTACTAGTAACGGAAGCGGCTTCTACTGAGAACTGGCCACTGGGAAGTACAAATAATGGAACCAGCTTCTGTGAGCTGTCAGAACTGGCAACTTTGTAGTACAAGTTAGTATGGGAAGCAGCTTCTGGGAGTTACGAAGTGGCCAAATTACATCTGTGATGTCGCTGTGACATGCGGTTTTGCGGGCCTCGGTGGAAAGTGCGTTTGTGTGAGTCCGTGCCATTGGGGGAAGGGAAGCACGCTGGTGTAAACGCAGCATGTCGTGGGGGAGCGGGCTGATTGGCGGTGCCCACAAGGCCTGGTGTTACATACCAGGGCTCCGCGAACGTCCGCGCTTTGGAAGTTTAGAGTTATACAGACATACACACACGTTCATTGAAGACAAAAGAACGTACAGCCAACTGCGGCTGCACCAAGAACCAGGGCAAATCAGCCTGATTGGGCAAAACATAGTGAAAGAACGTGTAGAAACACCTTGGAGTGCAAACATCACACATGGAGTCCAAAAGACTTACAGTTGGTCTACTTCAAGTCCTCAAGCAGTTCGAGGTCAAATAGGGTTTCAAAAGTTCATGCCAGTGCGTGACTGCAGACTTACCTCCAGCTCTAGAGTGGGATGGACAAGGGACATACCTACAATGTTAAACTCGGCTCGTGTGGAATTGATTTTTATTCACCTCGACTCATTGATTTGTGGAATCAACACCCATACGGGGCATTCAGAGGGTACAACGAATACCGCCAGCAACAAAAAATAAGGCCCATACAAAATCCCCCATGCGGCTGAATCTTGCCCAGCCTGGTAGCGCGGAATTCTGCGAGGCCTGCTGGCTCTTCAACAGCAGCATGAGCCCCATCCTGGACCACTGGCCTGTGAAGGAGAGTTGTGGAGTTGGGCGTGTTCCAATCTTTAGACCGCAAAAACTAAGAATCCCCTGCCATCCAACGGCGACAATTTTTCTATGCGAACCCATGAAGCAAGAAATGTTCCTACTTTGTCACAAGACTTCGAGACCTCTGCCACTCGGATTGGGATGAATTTTTGGGATCGAGCTCTGCATTAGGATCGGTACAGAGTTTCCACCTTAGGCCCACTTGATGATGCCAACGGTCAAGTGGTATCAGACCACAATTGTTAATCCTGCTGAGCAACGCCAACAGATTGTTCTTGCACAGGTTTGCACACGTTTCAAGAAGAACTAAAAGGCCTATGGAAACCTGCCCCCCAGAGTCGCCCATTCGTGACGTCACCTACCACTGCTCCACTGCCGTCCCACGTCGTCACTCGTGCCATGCGTCGACCCTGGGAGGACGTGCCGGACCGGTTCCTGACGGGGTTGGTGGTGAAGAACTTGCGCTTCGGAGACACACCGCCAGAGGACTTCAGCACGGTGACCATCCAGGGCTTTGGTTCCATGTGCCATCGGCTGCACTGGCTAGGTACCATGGTTTGACTTGGTTTAGTGGAGGGCGAAACTGGTTGTTGGGAGGCAAGAGCTGCTCGGTGTGGGAAGCCATTGGAATTTTGACATTGTGGAAGCTGCCGAACTTGGTAGAAAGTAGTTCCATTCATTTCCCAACGATTTGTCACAGCCAGCTATGCAACTCAACTGCACTCTAGCCCAAGCTAGTCGAATGCCTTTGAGCGCTACAGATTCTCCCAGATCCTCAGTGCATGTTCTTACGTCAAGGGGGAGATGTTTGTTGGAAAAGGGGACTGCAAGCAAACAACCATTTTCAAGTCGCTCGCTGTTCGTCTAAGGTGCAATCGCTACATGGACGTCTCCTGTGAAGGGACCTTGGCCACCAACCCTCAACAGGACAGGCATTTGATCAAATGTTGATCAAGCAGTCCAGGCGACGTTCCATCAAACGCATCAAAAGCATAGAATGATCAGAACGAAGTCGGTTTTCGTCCAAGCTTGTTCGCTCGAAGGGTTGGTTTTCAAGAACAACCGGGATGAGCCGTTGACGGGTCACCCAAAGGCCCCAGCACACCAAAGTGATCCCTGCGTTCCCAAATTCCAACATCTTGAGCCATTTTTACCGGAGTCGACTCTACCGGTGTTGAAGGTTTCTCCCCTCTACCGGTGGCATGGACCAAGTGAGAGGGGCTTTCGCTTCTCCGGCAGGAAGACAACCGCGCGGAGCTGTCTCAAAGCTTTCGACCCGAAGATCTGCCTGTGAGCTTTAGCGTGAAGATGCCCGACAGCGGCTCGACGAAGTGCCACCGGATGGGTGGGTTGGCTATGACACCTGACCTGAAGGAGGTGAATCCCCTCCGGTTTGCGGACGAATGTTGCCGGGTTTTTCTATGGAGATCCCCGGTGGTAGCCAATGGAGGCCACAAGGATGGTGAACCCAGGAACAAGCGTGGAAGACCCCTCCGCCCGAGACATAGACCCCGTGACTCACCTCCGACACCTGGCCGCCTGCCACCCGACATACACGACGTAACGGGACCTTCCCCTCCCCTCCTCCCTTTTTGGGTGCGTGGAGGTGGACGTCCGGGGGCTTTGATTTGGTTGGGATGGGCACGTGTTCTTTGAGTGGAGCGCAATCCAGCATCATCTAAGGGCTTTTTGATCCCTTTTCATCCCCATTGGCTCATCCCTATTGTTCCAAGTTCCAACCATTTCCATAATGGCATAGCCCCGGAGTTCGGCCCGAGGCGGTGGCTACGCCCACTTCCTCTACGCACCTCAGCGGCGCTTCGGGTTAGGGGCCGCGGCCACAGTGGCCACGCGAGGTCTTACGATTTGGTACCGTCCAGACGGAAAGTAACAAGGGCATCTCCGAAAAAGAAAACAACTCCCAGCAGGGAACGACGTGTGGATGGTCAACGTCACGTGTGTTTGAAGATGGTGAACGTGTTCGATGAATCTTCCCTAAACCTGCACCCCCAACAGGGGATTGAAAGTGCACCGGTGTTTTTTGAGAAAGAGGTGGCCGAGAAAGGGGCGTTTGTTATACTCAGGCATCTACTCAACGAACTGCCGTGCCCCGGAATGGAGCACTTCGGTCCCGATGCACACCACTCTCACTTCGACCTTTAAGGAAGAAAAGACTTTAAGGAACCTGAGAGCAATGGCCTCCAACCCAAAAACCACTTCTTTGACCTCTTTGATACTTTTCAAGAGCACCTGTGCATGATGGCATGCTTTGCAGCTGAGGTGCGGTGTGGCACGGAGGTGGTGGCCATTGAAGCAAACCAGCCTGAGGAGTTCCTGGTGAACATCAGCCAGGACGTGGATATGTCACACAAAGCACGCGGCATGGGCGAGGTCTAGATGATGGGTGGTTATGGACGGTCACCATAAACCCCAAAAGCGGCAGTGGGATAGGAACGAGTTCGAAGCTAAAGTCCCAAAGGATATTTGTTAGGCCAAAACTACGCCGGCTAGGTGCGTAGCACACGTAGCACAACAAGAAAGCACCGTTTGCATTTGTTCTGTTGTTATGCCTTTGTTTAATGCTATTGCAGGTATGGGTTGTGTAGTGTGTGTGGGTGGGGGAACGTATGCGCGGATGTATGGATGTATGACATGTCACAAGGTGTATGTTACAAAAATGGTGTTTTTTTCGCACGGTGATCTTCCCAGCAACTTCACGAAAACAGGATGCACGAACCACGGCGGTCGCCACGTGGCTTTTTCAGGAGGAGTTCCAGATCAGCCGACCTGATGTGTCGCCTGTGGCAAAGCCGCTCGGCCAGGTTTTGGGTTCGAGGAATCGACGGAATGTACATTAGTGTCGCTTCAGCCGTTGTTGATTTTTGTTCGGGTTTAGTGGGTTCCTTTCTTCATGTTGTCAGACCAATGACCAGGATGTCCATTGAACGGCGTCTCAGTTGCTCAGCCCCTTGCGTGGTTCGCGCGCTGGAAAGGGCATCGGCACGCATCACCAGGTTGTGGCGGAACTCGCCCAGCATGTCTTGCAGGTTGCCACAACCATTTTTGCCTGTTTTGGGACAGTTACTGGCAGTACAAACCAAAAAGATCAGCCAGTGCGTGTTGCATTCGTGTCGCTTGCTGTTTGCCAGATGCATTGGCAATAACAGGGTTGGGCGTGTGGGAGTACTTTGACCCCACGGGCCACATTTCCAAATGTCTCATGCATTGGAGAGAATTTGCAGTTTTCCGTTGACTATATATATATATATATTGTGTTCCATATCTCCTCTGAAAGGCTCCGGCCAATCAAAGGAGCCCGTGCAGAAGTGGAAAGATTTGGTTCCCAAATCCAAAGAAAGGCTCTCGGTAAGTGAAGGGGTTCAGTGCTGCAAAGGGAGGAGAGCACCATTTATACAAGTGGCTCACTACTGACGGCGATGCGCTTGATGTCCGATAGTCACACCGGCCAATGCTAGGCAGTGGCCAATTGCTTTCATTCAACTCTAAGCGACTCCAAAAGAATGAACTGATGGAGACCACCATGCTACCACGAGACAAGCATCGAATCAGATGAAGGGTTGACCAGTTGAACGAGATCTGCAATGCTCTACACGAAGGAACTTCCTGCGACATTGCAGAGTTTCACACTCCAGGCCGCTGGACATCCTAAAGAACGGCACTGCCTTGCGCTTTGGAGTTTACTTGCCTCTTGGAGCAAAAAGGCGCATCGATTGCTCTTTTGGGGATCCCGAAAAGCAGAAGTCGCCTGAATTGACCTGGGTCGCTCAGGTTTAATTGGAAGAACTGGACTCTGAAAAAGGCCACCTCCTTGTGAACCTGTTTGTTTACACAGAAGGATGTGCATAGCATTGAACGGGCAAGCCTCAAGATCGCACCGTATGTTTCGACATAGAGAACTGCCCGAGGAAAGCGGCAGGACCAATGAATTGCATCGCTTTTGTGGGCCCCTTCATTTTGATGCAGATGAATTGATCAATGTTTTGATCAGAAGAAATTGTTCAAACATGTTCAAACCTCTTGTCACCCAAAGGTCTACCTTCCTACTACCGGAGCACCGCAGAAAGCTTTCCATGTGTTCCAAAGCAGATTGTCCCCATAGTTTATTTGGAAGTTCACTGCGGACTCTCGCCATGGGCCATATCCATTGACCACTCGGCTTAAGGTACACAAAGAGCTCTGTGGAACTCCAATGGACAGTGGGCGCAACGCATGAAGCGACGGAACAAAAGGGGTAGGGCACGTCTCCGGGCGCAGCGCACGCACCGCATCCCGGTTCAAACCAGAGGGTCCCCTTCCGCGGTTTTTTGTGGCTCGGGGTCAAAACCAGACCTTGGTTGACCAGCAAAATTGAACAGACTAGACTACAAGGGAGGCCAACCGACCAGGAATTAGGGCTTTGGACTCTTAGAGCCAAAAGCAGAATACAGTGGTTTGCTTTGGTGCTTCGAGAGGTGAGTCCCTTGATCGGAAAGGCTCGGATGTGTTTGATCCATTCGCAGTTCGAATGGGTGAAACAACGGTTGATACAACGGTTCTTCTGGATGATCTAGTGCTTTGGATCATGAAGAGGTGATGAAGGGTCAAAAAAAAATATTGATGTGTTTTTTCTGTGTGGGATGAGCGTCAACTCCAGGTCTGACCGGTGGCTCCATGTCACGTTCCAGCCAGGATTGCTTTGCATCCCTCAGACTCTTTGTTGCACATCTCTCGCACATTGCTCGCTTTTTGGAGAATCCTCACTGAAACGCAAAATATGTGCAACCCCTGAAAAGCAAGCCCAAGCAAGCGTTCAAAAGAGAAGCAAGCGTTCGCATTCCGCACAGCTTGGCGTCCGAAGAGTTGGAGTTCTAGGAGCCCACCCTATTGCCCTTGACACATGTTGGACACCAAAACCACAGGAATCCCCAGCAGGCTCCCTACGTGTTTCCATTGGGATCTGGGATGATCAATACCAGAACCACTGCCCCAAGGCATATCAGCCACCAAAAGCCATATCAATGTTCGTACCTGGCACAGTACTCCGAGAAGTGTTGCCATTTTCTGGTTCCCTTCTTTGGCTGGAGGGGTCTCTCTAGTATGTGCCCATGCAATGCAGGCAGTGGGTTCCCGAATTCCTGCATTGCGTGTCTTCCTTACTGTCAATTTGTGGGGTCTTTGAGCATTGCTGCTGGTGTGACTGCTGTGTGTTGATGTTTCATGTCGCAGAGTTGACTGGGCGAATAGCAGCTATTTGAGCTATTTGCTGCAGAAGACCTTGACCCTACACGTGCCGTGCTGCCTTGCCACCTCTGCCTTGTCAGTCTTCCTCGGGCTAAGTCTTGGTGCCATTCTTGACGGACCAGTTTTGCTGCGAGCCCACCACGCGAAAAAGGAACGAGTTCCTTTAACAATGACCCTTTGCCGAGCTGAAATGCAAACCAAAAAAGCGCAACCAGTAACCAGCGTTACACAGGGGCGCCGAAAGCATTTGACCTGCGCACAACTTGAACTTTTCGTTGCTCGAAGGCTTCTCGTCGAAGTCTCTTTCAAAGGTTCAAATCAACATTGAAGTCTTCCTTGTTTGCGGGTAAGATTCCCTTTTGGTCAACTGCCTTGCCAGCTTTTCCAGAAGGCGGTGTTCGAGTGTTGAAACCAGGCACCCCTGACTGGCAGAGGAAAAGCACGACCGAACCTTGTCCCGCCATCCGTAGGTCTCGCACCTGTCGGTGTTACTTTCCACCTCTTTCCACTAGTTCTGTGCTCGTGATTTGCTGAAAACACTTCTTGAAGGTAGCAATTGATGGTGTTCTGCTTCAACTCCTGAAGGTTGAACTTTTGGGGGCCAGTGTTCATGGAGATTGCCCCTCTAGAAACCCCAAAATCTGCGTCAGTCATTCTTTGCTGATGGCAAAATGTTTCAGTCATCAAGATGGACAGAGCCCCACCTATTACGCAAAGCCCTTTGCTCAAACACATGTATCGGAGGGTCCATAGTCCATAGCATTTTGATGCGACGTAGGATGATCATCCACAGCAGCACATTCGTAGTCGCCCTGTTCCATTTCACTCAACTGTGGAGGTGGTGTTCGTTGTTTTCCATCCCAGCAGAATTTTCTCCTGCACGTGGTGTTCATTGATGTCCATGTGAATCGCTGTCGGGATTGTCCAAGAAAGAAGTGCGCCATGGTACATGGGGAAGAACTTCCGGCAGCTCCGAGCCGCTCAGTGGGAACTCGTTGCCCGGTCACCGACGGTGAACATTTGTCGATCATTTGAGAAGTTGACCTCGTGTTTCTAATAGCTTCTTGTTACTACTAGTAAGGCACTTGTTACTAGAAGCGATGCACTTGTTACTAGTAGCTTCTTGTTACTTGTCGCTTTAAGAGTTGACCCGCACACATGCTATCACATCAACCTGACCAATCACCACATGCGAGAGGAGGATGGTTTTGACATGTTTCGTCGAACTTTTGGTTTTGGGCCTTGGAAAAAAATCCAAGGCAAAAAGGAAGAGGCTCACATGGGGTGATGTCCGAATGCCGTTCCGTTGAGACATCTGACCTTCTTGACTGGCTTATATCCATTTGAGGCTTGAAGGGTTCGGCTTCAACGAAGGTTTGGCTCATTGATTTGAGCGAGGCCGGTGAACCTCTCCGTAGGAAGGCCCTGAACCTTCCCATTGCCGGCGGCATTTCTCGAGGCCGCGGCCGGGCGGATTGCACACCTCGGGCAGGTGCCTGGCCGAATCGATGAAAAGGTCGGCACATCGAGCAATTGTTTGTTTATTCAATGAAAGTTGAAGCCGGAGATCGCAAGTGATGTGGTTTTCCAGCGTGCAACTCACAATTGCACTTGCCTTCGCATCTTCGCATCACATGCAAGCACCCTTGCAGATCATCAGTCTTGCAATACCCCCCTCTGGGAAGCCAGAGGAGCTGCTTTGGAGGAACAAAAGCACCACCTGTAGAGGTCGACGGAATGATTGGATGATGTTAGATGCGCGTTTCGCTCACGAATGGTTTTGACTAAAGCCCGAAGAACTTGAGGCGAAGAAGTGGCCCGAAGCGCTGCACGTGCTCAAGGGCCTCACAGAGGCAGTGACAAGGGCAACCGCCAGGTGTGTGGTTCCGGGGTTCCAGCTCGTAGTAAATCTGTTCCATTGCTTGTTGATTTTGTTTCAGCTATGTACGAAGTTGACAAGAACACCAAAGCTGCACCCATCTACCTGGCGAAACCGGTCAAGGTTTACAGATCGCTCAACTGAGTTGTTCCGGTTCGATATTCGGAAAAGATCGAAACGTATCATGAGAGAACGAGCTTTTGCTTAATCTATGCACACAGTAGACTCTCTTCACCTTCCAGATGGGAAATTGGTCCATCCTCATGCAAACTCAATTGACCCCCAAGTCATTTGCAAAGTCCATCCTCATCCATCATCATCCACCCATTCCAATCCACCGAGTTTCCTGTGACGGAATCTCCGGCTCAATCCCCTCAATGGGGTTCCGTCGCACTCCCTGTAGGTCGACGTTGGCCTCTTGGGCGCTTTGCTCACGGCGCTCGAGCGGGGCAGCGCCTGGGCAGCTGCACTGCAGCTGCTGGACGACTGCGCCAGGCCAAGGAAGTGAGCAAGTTAAGGAAGATTTGCAGGCATCTACAAATGTGTCTATCATTCTTCCCCATTAGATGCCACTGAGTCTACAAATCATCTTCGCTGCTCACAAGTCTTTTCCCACTGGAAGACGCTCAGTATGCCGAAGCCCACGACGCACCGGACCACCGATCCCGATGCGACTCCGGCAAGGCGCCGCTGGGCATTGGACGGATGGGCCTACGGCGCCGCCGCCGCGGCCTGCGTGGGGGACGCCCAGTGCAGTGGAGTGCAAACAACGAGCACTTTCAACACACAGTGCTCCAATGAAGCCTCTTCTTTCGGTTCACCTCCACGAGTCTTCAGGAGCGCAAGCACCAGCGTCGCGCCTCGGAGCGGCTCCTGTCGCAGCTCTGGTCGAAGACGAAGACGGAAGCGGACGTGCTGCTGGTGCCCTGGGTCGAAGAGGAAATGTTCTCAAGAAGCACCAGTGACCAGACTCCAAGACCATCACAACACCCAAGACCATCAAGTCCATGCAGCGCATGGAGTCAACCGTTCATCATGTTCACATTGGGTGTCTTTTGATAAGATGTGTTAAAATGAATTGGACATGTTGTTGGGATGTTGTGCAGTGGAAGTGGGGAACATGTGGTTCTCGGCCGCGATTCACCTGTGGTGCAGCCGCCCGTCCCAGGCCTTCAATGGCGCGCTGCGTGGCGCAGCTTCCACCCGTCGCGGCGACGCGCTGCTGGCGCGCTTCGTGGCGCAGAGTGGGTGCCCGGAGCGGGGCTGAAGCGGTGAGACTGTGTTTGAAGTGGATCTGACGCTCAAATGCTCCTCTGGTACATATTCAGATTCAAACCATCACTGGACAGGAATGTCACTGGACAGTTTGTGCCAGTTTGTGCCCCTTCTTTTTGGCTTTCGGTAGGCCCGTAAGCTGCAAAGAGCTCGGCAGGACATTGTCTCCTACAACACCCTCATGAGCTCCTGCGAGCGCGAGCAACAGCACCTCGCCGGGCGAAACAGACGAGAGACGAGGCACTGGGAGAGTGGCACTAGTTTTTTAAGGGCCGCTTTGCCCCGCAACCTACTGGCAATGGCCTCCAACCTAGTCAGAAGTGGATGGACGCAACGGCGTCCGACGGCCACGACCCAGGTGGACGAAGGCTCTTTGGCACCTGGCGGTCCTGCGGCGCAGAGCTTTGCAGCCGACGGTCGCCGCTCGGTGAAGCAGAACACATGTCGCACGGATCATGTCGGATCAACCGAAGGATCCTTTTTGGAACTGACACTTGTTTGTTCTATTCTCTGTGAGTCCCATTTTCCCGGCGGATTTGACATCAATGTGTTTGAAGGTTTTGAGTGCTGTTGAACTCTTCCCTCCCCAGCCTCGTCCACACCCATGCACCTCCCGTCTCGCGCCCCTCCCTTCCTTCCCCAGCCCCGTCCACAACCGTGCGCCTCCCGTCTCGCGCTTGACATGGGCATATCCGATCCAAATCTCACTGGAGGACGTGTCTTTTTCCAGATGTGCTCGTTCAAAGGTTTTGAAATACCGGAAGTGTTCATTGGTTGTTGAACATTTCAACCGTGCGTTCCCGGTGCTTTGGAGTAGAGAGGCTTGGCCAGTCACCTTGTCAAGCCAGCTGGGAGTCAATAGCGTTCCTGCGCATGTGGAGAGTTTTGGATGCAAAAGGTTGTCAGGTCCACTTGGAAGTGCTTGCTCGTTTCCATAGAACATGGAAAGAACCCTGGAGTCGGTGGAGCCTGAGGTTACCTTTTCCACAGCGATCAACGCATGCGCCAAAGGCCAGCGCGGGTGTTGCTTGGGAGTTCGAGTGTGGAACATGGCAAGATGGGTGCAAAGTCAAGAAAATTGAAATCCAAATATCCCGTGCTGGAAGGGAACTTTGGGGACCATTAGAAGTCTTTTGTTTATGGAATCACAAAATGATCTCTATTGGTTTGGGCATCCAAACAAAAGCGCTTTCCATGAAATAGATCATTTTGATATTTTTTCCATAAATAAAGTTTTGTCCTGTTGAGAAGAAGGAACACACTATAGTGACGCATTTTAGAACAAGGATTTCAAAGACGAACAGCGTTTCTTGAGTAAAGGGTCCAGAGTCCAAAGACTTGGCATTTAAAGAGGCCATTCTTTTGTCCGATATTTATTGCCTCGCGGGAATGTTTGGGCACTCGCCTTTGGTTGGGGAGCAAGATTGGAACTTGAAATGCTTTCAGAACAGCTTTGAATGAGGTAGAATTGTTTTCGGGGATTTCAATTTAAAAGGATTGTGCTTGTTTCGTGGCAATTCTTTTGGGAGGTCGTCTCTCGTGTTGTTTGTCGTGTGTCACGTGCTTTTCAGCCTCTCTCGTGTGAGGAGCGCAGTGGCCTCGAGCCTTAGGCTTGATGATGGGCCTGCAAAGCCAGGAAATACAGCACCTTGGAAGAAAAAGTGCAGATCGCAATTTGGGGTGGCAGTTCATAAATGGGCTGATAGAGAGTGTTTGGTGAGATTCAGGGTGTGAAGTAGCAGAACATTGCTCGCAAGTTCATACTTTCGTTCGTCTTGCTTGGGCCCACCCAGGATTTGTAGGGATCAGGACCAGGAAAATCTGCTTTGCTTTGGTTCAATCCCACGAGCCCTTGCAAGCTAGACCTTTCTCCTCCCATCTATCATGGAGTTCTCAAATTCCCGTGAAAGGCGGTGCTTTGGACTCGGCTGCTTCGTGTTTTCGAAGTCGACCAGAGTCTTCGACGCCTCGATGAGCCTGAGGCCCAACGCTGTGACCATCGCTTCGTTTGGGCCTTGAGATGAGCGAGACTGGACACCCTGGCCTTGGTGGTTCGAGTCGTCGTTCCAAGAACCCCCCGGAACGTTGGCCTTCGAAGCTTGGTTTCTTTGCATATTCGGACTCGGAATCTTGGCGATTGAAGTAAGACCGTTCTTTGGTTGTGGCTGTAGAGAAAGCCACAGAGACAGCTCATGTGTTTTGTGTCAAGTCGAAGCAAGGCAAAACATTTTGAGCGGGAGACATTGGGGCAAGTTTCTGGAATGTGCTGGATCAGACTTCCTTTAAGTAGCCACTAGGCAATGGCCACTGGGCAAGTAGGGGTTCCAAAGCAGGTCTGGGAGCGGATATTGTTTCTTGAACGCCATGAGTACGGTCCCAACCTTTTGGTTTCTGGTACCGTACCCCCACTTCTTTGTTGCTTTCAGTCTCGGCTCAGGTGCATGGATGCCTGCACCCGCGGGTGGGGCACTGAGGTAAGCAGCACGGTGTAGAACACTGGGGCTCGACGGTCACTGGTAGTGAAACACGCCTTCGGTCCACTTCAAGAAACTTATGGGTTTTGACACGAGAAACTGCCGAATGCGTCCTGTGGTATGGGAGGCACATGGAACATCGGAGAGTCAGAGAGTCGACGAAAAGTTTGGTGCCTTTTTCAACCATATGTTCTTCTCCATCTCCAAGCCTCTCTCCATGCATGACAAAGCCAAAGCAGCTCTATGCACCGCAGCATGGCCCGAATGTGAAGGGACCGTTGAAACAAGCCGCGGCGACATTAGACCCTTTTTACATAGCGATTGTGAAAGGCTCATGGGCACCAGGGGTTTTCGCCTCCCGGTTTTTGCACCCAGACTAGAAAGGACTGGTGGATGCTGCTCCCCAACCTTGGCTCACACGGCCAGTGGCACACGTGTGACACTTGAGGCGCCAGTGGCTGCTGGCTTTTCACCTCATGGAGAGGCCAGCGGAGAGCTGAAAGCCCGGCTGGTTTTCCTCTAGTGGTGTAGCATACAACAAACACCACTAGATCAAAATTTGACCCTCACCGGGGATTTTGCATGCTCACTTCCCGACTTCACAGAGGCAATGGGTTTGGTGGAAATATACCTCAAGGCATAGAGTCACAAGTAGCACCAAAACACGACCTTTAGCATCTCTTGGCTCCCGCAATCTGCGGGAGCTGCAGATTTTCCAGGTCCAACGCCACCAACACTGCTGTGCTGCATGTCTTTTTGCATAGCATGGCTGCTGGCAGTGCCTGGGAACAGGCGTGTGAGTGGGAGCTTGAGGGGCAAGAGGATGTCCGGCAAATGACCGGTTCAAACAAGCGCCAGACATGCATAGGAAATAGATAGATAGATAGAGTCGTACGTATGAGAGTACTCCGAGAAAATGCCGTTTCGATGCTTTAACGGAGTTTGCTTTCGGCCCACATCACTTTCTTTTGGTCACAAAGATGGTCCTGTATGCTTTTTGTTTCAATTGCTGTGTCTCCTATGCAGTGGACATGCTTTTTGACGGATGTTGTTTGCATCCTTGTCTTAGGGAGGTGATGTCTTTGGTTCATCTCGTTCTCGCAAGTTGATCCATTTGAGTCTGCCCTTTTCCAGCATTTGCTACTCAGAGACGTTAGAAAGGAGTCATGAAAATGCCATAGAAAGAACTGTGCTGTGCAGTAGCACTGTGCAGTAGAGTGGCAGCCTCATCACTTCATTTCAAAAGAAAGGAACGAAGACGGTTCAGGGACTGCCAGTTCATATGGGCTGGGCATGGGAAACTCACCTAAGCATGAGCCTGCTCTCCGAAAATCCCATGGCTCATTGAAAGGTCACGAACGCAGCACATCAGATGCTTTTCAATAGAATCCTGAATCTCAAACTGGGAGAACCCTTGTATGTTTGGCTCCTTCTGGCCTTTTGTTTTCTTTTTCTCGCTCTTCTGCAGGTCCTGCAGACATTCGCCACCTTTGAAGGCTACAGGAACGCCGAGGTCCAGGTTTTCTTTGTCGCCCTATCGGACCTATCGGATGGACCGGAGAACTGCTACACCGGAACTGCGCAGTGCAGTTCACAGGAAATTCAACTCAGAAGGGCTGTTTGTTGTTGCCTACGAGACCTGCTTATGAGAGTTGCTGTTGGTGTTCTCAGCAAGTCTTTGTCCAGAACCACCGAGGTGTACGAGGCTCAATGGCCATGTAGCTCTCGGATTGTTAGTGGAAATTCTGAAGCATCACCTCTTTAGCCGTAAACTGTCAGGCCTTTTGTGCGGTCTTGGTGGCGTGTGCTTCCTCGACTCAGTGGAGGCCGGGTGACCGCTTTGACCGCTGTTTCTCAAGGTACGTACGTCGTCCACCTCCCTCCACCCAAGAAGCCACATAGTGTGGCATAGGAACCACAGGAACCTTGTAGTTGGTAGGTTGAGAGACTGTTGTGCATAGGCCTGAGGAAGGATGGTCTTCCGAATGCAGCAATGGGGAATGACACCAGCTCTTCTCAGAGGCATGCGCTGCATCACTGGAAGGAGTCCAAAGCTCAGAAATCGTTCCTTCCAAAGCTTCAATCGTTGCTTCTTCTTTTTGTGAAAAAGCACAAACTAAAATTTGCAACGCCAAGGATGGGATGTGAAGTTTATGTCGGCCGACCGGCTGGGGCCCAGGCGGAAGGAAGGAATTCAAAGGTCGGTGCACTGAAAGATGATTGGTTTCAATCGAAATTTGGTGCATGCGTTATGCTGTATTGTTTTACGATGTTAGCGATTTGATTTCTGACGAGTTTCTGGGGCACGGCCAACACAAGTGGAAGAACTGCATGGTGGAGGTTGACCCTAGCCGAAGGCTTTCAACTGCTGGAAGCTCTCCTTCCGGTCATTGCAAAATGCTATGCCTGGCTTTTGCAACTAGTGAGGGCTGGCAACAAACTACTTCCAAAGAGTGTTTACAGCTCGACGACCCTCTCAAGCAGTTTGTTGGGAGTGCCCTGAGTGAAGGCTTCCAGGTAATCAGGGCAGCTCAAGACTTGCCGTGTGCAAGGTGGGTTTAACAAACTTGAGACCAAACCTTATGGATCATAGAATGCAGGCATTGCAAGCTTTTTGCCTCCCAAGCTCTTCAAGCCGACCTCAAGCTGCTTTGCTTGTTCACATCAACGAGGCTTGGCACGCGGTGCAAAGCTGTTTGGCCTCAGCTGCACGCTGGCAAGAGGCAGGCAGATGTGATGGCTGGACGCAAGACCGAAGAATATCCGGTTGAAACATGTTTCTTGTTTGAAGTTCGTTTGCGAAGTTGACTAGAGCTCACAAAGAACTTCAAACAGCGATTTGGATGTTGAATTTGACCGCCACGTCGTGTTTTAGAAGTTTGTACATAACAGGCTGAGCGATGGCGCTCAAATACTAGAAAAGCATGCATCAAAGTCCCTTGGCCCACCGACAGAGGGCACTATGGACTTTACACCATTCAGGTAGCCTTGGATGTGATGGGACGTGGGAATGATGGGAATTTCCACCATGACTGTTTTCATTTGTTTTCCCAAAGGCATTTTGGAAGATTTTGTATCCAGGACCACAACCCGACCAAGCTACAAACAAAAAGGGCTGTCAGAGGTGGTCAGTGGTCAGTGAAATTTAATGGACTTGCCGAAAGAAACCACAATTTCATTCTAGAAAGATTGTCGGGCTCTCCCACTCCCCACCCAAGCCCGGATTCCAGTGATCAATGGGGTTGCGGCAATTGTTTTTTCTGGTGGTGAAGAGGTAGTACACGGTTCGCAGATATTTGTACAGTAAATCAGAGCATTTGCTGACTTGCCAGGCGCTTCAGTTGCTTTGGACAATGCAGGCGCGAAACCATCAGCTCGGATAGCGCTTGTTTGTGGGGCACTTGCTTCAAATGTAATCAGAGTTCATCCTCCAGAGAACTATCAATCCTAGATTGCAGCACATTGAAGTGTTGGATGCCAAGGGCGGTCCAAAGAATGCCAAAGATTGATCAAAATGTGCTTCCTCATTTGCCACGAGTCCAGACTGCGTTCGGGAGAGTATCCAGCTTTCCAATTCTTGGCGCACTTTGGCAAGCTTTGGCACACTGGCATCCAGACCAGACCAGACCAGTTCGCAGCTCGCAGGTTCCACCCGATGTAGTCAACCACCTCACAGTGGCACGCGCGTGCATCCAAGGCCCGGCTCAGACTCGGCGTCGTCCAACAACACCTCTGCGAGCACCGCAAAGTCAGTATGTTTGGCCTGGTGAAATCTGAGTCCTTCACAAGTCAGCCAATCAAACTCGAAATTGGAAGTGCAGGCGGCCATCCAGATGAAGTCTTTGGGCTGCTGCCACCTTTGAGAGGTGCTTCGCTGTCAACACTCCAAGCAGCAGTTTGTTTGCCACTTTCTCCTCGAAGTGAGGTTGAAGGCCATTGGGGCCATTCCCAACACTTTTTCAGGCCCTCCTGATGTTCCCCCCAAGGACTCCGAAATGAAAATGGAGATGAGAGTGTTCGGATGAGTTGGAGCCGATGTCATCGGACTGTCGCCGCCAAAGGCCGGGCCTTGTTGACCTTGCTATGCCGAGAAGGTGGGTCTTCATTGCATCCAATGAACGGCGTTGTGTTCAAGAGCGTTTTTCAACTTTTGGTGACGATTTCAATCACATGGCACAGGGGTCTTGATGTGTTTTGCATCCTTTGAAATTGTCAAATTACTCAGGCGAGCCAAGCGATTTAGAGCCTCTTGGACGCAGCTGTAATGTGTGGAAGTGGATCAATCCTGCTTTTTATCCAGGGCCCAGGCAGCCCCAAGTAGAACTCTGATCAGTAGCTCAGTAGATTCTAGCAGTCCAAAGGAATGACGACAAGCTACTTCTCGAGGAATTGTCCCAAGAACTTGAGAGACAGAATGAATAGCCCTGCCCGAAACTAGCCTTGAACATTTGTTGAGAAGCTCGCATTCAATCAATTCAAACTTGCCCTGAAGCATCACTGAACGCATCAAGTGGCTCAGCAGAAGGCAGGTTCAGCTTCCGGCCATGCCAGGTTCTTGGGCCAAGCAGCCGAAGTGATTTGTGATGCTGACATGTTCTTGTAACCACGTGGTTCCACGGTCTGCGTCATTTTTTATTGTTCCTGTTGGCACCACAAAGTGGCCAGGGACGATGAGCAATTCGAGGTCGGTGCTTTTTGCCCTGTCAATGTTGATACTCCTGACCTTCAGATATCAATGCTGTGACGTCTTGGTTTCATTGCACTTGCATACTGACTACCAGATTTCATTGCTCATCATAGAACTTGGAAAGCTCACGCCAGCACTCTTTGTGTGATTTGCACAGCCACAGTGCTTCACCAGGGGTGCCTTCAGCCGCCTGCACTCGAAACTTCAGCAGGCCGCAACAAGCTTGCCGGCAGTTTGTTTTGCGGTGGTGGAAGGATCATATTTGCGGCGCCCCACAACGCTTTTCCTTCAATTGTTTGCAGACTTTCGGTCTTGCAGCTAGCCTGTATTCCACATTGGTGTATTCGCTTATGATATATCCTTCTTGCATATGTTGTTCAAATTCCACCGGCAGAATCGTATGCCCAAAAGTGCCTGTAACAGCGCGAAAACTCGTGAAATCTTGAAAGGTCAATGCGACCTGGAGCTGTCAACAACGTTGGATGATTAAAAAAAATAAATAGAATAAAGCACAGTAGGAGATGACACAAGGTAACGATGATGATGATGATGATGCACAATGGTGATGATGCTAAGATAATGTGGATGTGAGAATCTCAAGATATACCTGTGGGGCACTCATGTACAGGGCATTCTTGTGGGACACCTGCATTCTTGCTTGCAAGATGGGGCCCCTGTTTTGGAACATTCCAGGGCGCTCTGGGACAATCTCCTGAGAAACCACCATCCCGCTTGCCTGCAACACATAGCGTTTATTTACGTACATTCCCGTTCCCCGACGGTACGGAGCCGCGCAAACGACTTTCCACCGAGCCTGCGCAAATTAGCATGGCATAGCGACATCACCGACGTAAGTAGGCGTTGTACCATATCGCTTTACAAAATAAATCATTTTTCAAGTGTTCGATGCAGGATCGCTCGAACAAAAAGTATGACTTGGACTCAATTGGAAAATGTATCCAAATAATTACGAGGATCGCAATTTATGAGAAATGAAAAATAATGTTTTCATTTGAAATTTATATGTATATTATATTAAAAATACATTAAATATTATTTCTATCTTTTTAATATTGTTATATATATACATATATATATTTATATTATATTGGAATATAATGATAATATTACATAAATTAGCTTAATTGGAAACCTAATTATAAGATTTTAATCGGAAAAAAAAAGCAAAATTTAGAAATAATATTTATTTTTTTTTTATCGATTATTTTTTTTGGATACTATTATTATATAATCGGAAAATAATTAGATATTTTTAAAATATGTTTGGGATATTATTATTACGAAAGGTAGCTTTTTAGGAGATATTTTGAATTTTATTTGCGAAGCAAGTGTCGGCGAGTCCGGGTTTAATAATTGAGTTTTTAATATAGATTCCCGTTTCCCCTCGTTTTTTAAATTTAATTCTCTGCTGGAGAACGTTTTTCTAAGCTTTTCATGATTTTAGGATAGTTGAAACCCTTTTGAATATTTAGAAAGAATGAGTATTAGGTTCTAATTACGAAAGGTGTTTCTCGAGGGGTATATACCTAAAATATTTTAGAGTTTGTGCTGTGAAGCAAATTAATTTTCTCTTGGGGAGCGTTTTCGTGAGCCTCTTATGAATTTAGGATAGTTAAAATCCTATGATGTTCCGATTTAATATTTATCGATGATTTGAGCCATGGGGCAAGTTTGTTTTCCTAAGAATCTTTTTGAATATTTCGAAACTATATATTTGAATATTAAGAATGCATATGAACATATATTTACGAAAGGTCGCCTCCGTGGGAATAAATCATTATGTCGAACATTGCATTTTTGTTCTTCCCTCTCGCGTTCTCTTTTCTTCCCGCTGTCCTACCTTTCGTGTCTCCCTCCTCTTAAGTAATATAATCGGGACATTATCAAAATATGACCGGGACACTACTAAAACATAATCGGGACACTATTATAACATGATTGGATTAAAACATGATTAGGACGCCATTAAAGCATGATCGGGGACACTATCCGCCTACTAGCTCTGATGGTGACCCGACGGCGCCCGTCCACCTATTAATTTGCAAGATCCCACAGCATGGTTATTGGGGAATAAATTTATATGTTTTGAAAATATTTTTTTGTTTTTATCGATTGATATTTTATGATATATAATATAATATACTTTTGGAAAAAAATATATATTAATTTTGTAAAATAATTTTTGTTTCGATTATCGTCGAAATTTTCTTTCGTATTAATAGCGGAATTTCGGTTTTAGGGTATTTATTGCGACATTGAATTAAAGACCTTTCAATTTTTATATTACGAATGTATTATCGAATTTTTAACTATATCGATATTTTTTTCGATTTATACAACATTTGGATTGTAGACGTAAACAATAGAAAAAGAAACAATGATTAGTTCAATTTATGCGACGTCTATTTTTTTTTGGCATTATTTTAGGCTCGAGTTTCGGCAGCTGTTTCTTTCTGGCTATTCTGCCCATATTTCTTTGCCTTGTGCTTTGGTCTTTCTGCCAGACACATCGTTGGTGATTGTATTTGGTTCATTTCTAACAAGCCAGAGGTTGTGTCTCCTGATCCCAACTCCAGGGTCTGTGAATGCCAATTCTCCGCCTTCACCATTGGTGGCGTGAGGGTGCACGAATCATGAAATGGAGACACACCAGGACTCTGCTGAATTTGTTTGCTGGCTGACAAGCAAGCCCTTGCATGGGGATGCACATGGAGGTGGAAGATCAACTTCCAAATTGGGAGGCAAGGCTTGAAGCCCCTGAGGACTCACGCCAACTTTACGCCCCCATCGTCCTTCAAGAGACAAAAGATGGTGATTGCACGATTCAGGACTTGCACGTCTGAGGGATGGGATTGTGTACATGACCAACGCAACCATCCTGGTGTTTATCCGTAGCACCTTGCCACGACCTCAGCAGGTGCCCCCAAACAGCACCAAATGGTTTCTGATGGGTGAGTTGAAAGCTCAATCCACCTAGCCAAGATGAACGTGCATTCTGGAGATCACAGGACCTGATGCAAACAGCACGACACTTCGGCCTGTTGAACATGGACCACGTCATTCTCGGATTTGTCCCAAAGAGAAAACTGTAAGGAAGCCGCAGCTTTGATCGAGAAGATTCATATTCTGGTCGCTCAGGCGGACTTGGTTGTCGGCACTGAAGCATGGCCTCGAAATTTGACGGACACGGATTCACAAGTTGATCATCGAAAAACAATTTGTTTTTACTATATCTTCTAAAATTCTACTTCCGTGCGTTGTTAAATAACAATTAAAATTTGATAGTCTGGACAAGTTTCGCCTCAAATAGCCATATATGTGTGTATATACTTTCTTTTTTTGTTGAATGTATTTATAAAATGCCTTTTACGAAAACTATATTTCGTAAAGCTTCGTTCTAAATGAATATTGATAAGATTATCCATTCCGGCAGACTTGATGGATCGTTAGAACTTCGTGTATCAACCAATTTTTGTCTTGATTCTTGAGGAGTAGGGTTATTTTTGGCTGCTGTGCGCTTCTTCAAGTTCAACTCGCAGGTCCCATCACAGGTCTCCTGATTTATCTTCACACGGTCCCATTAAAGATCTGCGGTTGCTTATAGTATGCCGTTGTCTGCTCGCTGGAAGCCAATGGCATGCACAAGAGGAGAACAGTTTCCTGTCACCTTCACAGCATGTGCAGTTCCTGTTATGCGTGAGAAACATGAAACGTGTGTGGAGTAGGCCGTACCAAGGCGGCCTGGTCGTTCTCCACATCCGTGGCCCTTTACAGTTGTGATCAATCTGTGCATGCAATGTATTGCAACATGAATTGGAATGGGCGACCGAAAATTGAAAGAGGCAAAAAGGGTTGAATTTGGAAGTTATAACTGATGTTTTTTGGAAATTGAATTTTTCCGTTTTTGGCTATATTTGCGAAATTTAACGTAAAGATGTGGAAGCACAAAAACGGAAGCGATATTATCCAACGAAAAGGTTGCCTCTTTGCCACGGATGTGCCCTGGCGCCTCTTTCGACGGAATTCCCCAACATGCATGGTGCAGAAAAGACAGTTCCAGGCATTCGTTGCATGACCTGGAATGCATCGAATTTTTCTTACATGAAGATTTTTTGCACTGGAACTCTTCTTGACGGCTGGACATCATAGCTTTGTAAAAAAGTGGTTTGACATCAATGACACCCCAATTCTATTGGGGTGCAATTTGCCACAGAACACAAACCTGTTTGAACCTTTTGTCATCAGAGCACACTTCCAACAAAGCAAAGCGATCCGCCTTGCCATGCCTCTGTCGTAATTGGCGCGAATAAGACGGGACCTGAGCATTTTGTGGCGCTACTTGGGATGTTCCCCTAATCAAGCGGCTAAGAAAGCCTCGTTGAGATTCCTCGTTGCGGATGTGAGAGTTTCATTGCGGATGCCATCAAAATATCCACGCTTTGGGACACGTCATTTTTGGAATTCACAGCCTTCACAAATTCTTAACCAGACTTACGTGTCCTTTTCAAGCTACGAAGTGGAACCCCACGAATGCAGCAGATGTTGCAAGACGCTCTTGTTGATTAGGGAGCTTGATCTTCCTCGGCGGAGAGGACATATCAGTCAATTTTTTGCTTCCAAAAACAAGCAATATCTCTGTTACTGAGTTCTTCCACCTTAAAATGAGTTCTTCCACCTTAAAATGAGAATTTAAACAAAGTCGTTCGTAGGATTTTCGACTGCAATAACGACAAAAAATGCTGCACCACACTCTGAACTGAATATGCAGTTCCTCCACGCTGTGGTAGCGTTGCGCGCTGGGGTATCTTGGTGCAAGGGCATTTGCACTGCTGTGCAAACTTTGTGCTGCAATACTCTGGCTCCTGAGACATGTCTTTTCGTGCTTGACCCACAAGGCACTCAGTGTGAGAGTGCAAGTTCCTGGGTTTCGGGGACGTCATCCTTGTTTGGATCTACCAGTGACTGCTGGGCGTCTGGTAAGCAGTTAAAGCATTTACTTGAAACATTTCATTTGGGATATTTGTTGGTTGCACTATGGTGCATGGCACTTCGTTAATTTTTTTGTCAGGCTGCTATGAAAGCAGAAAAGGTGCCACAGGATAGTCATTTGTGAGCGGACCTTTGAAAGCAACACGTGGAGTGCATGACTGTTCTCTAGTTCGTGAAATCCTTTTGCGAGGTCATCCCTTTCATTTGATGACCTGTTCATTTATTTGTAGTTAGAGCTTTATAGCGGCTTTCCTTCCGTGAAACCACTGACTTGCTGCCTCCGTGTAAAAGTGGCTTCATTCGAGAGGCGTTCGTTTAAGTGCCGCTTTCGAGTTAGCCGCACTTTCGAGTTCTTGTGACTGCTTTTCCTGACAAGCTGACGTGTGGCGATCCTATTGGATCCAGGTCGTTGGTTGGATGGAATTTTGGTTAGGCTTTCCACAAGAACGAATTGATCCGGCCCCGGCCTCTTGGGAGGCG